TTGAAAACTGCAAGACTTAAAAACAACATATTATCCTCTCCGGACTAGACATGAGAAAAGTTAAAGCAAGAAGAGAATTTGTGTGGTTGTTACTCACCAAACAACTCCATCTGCAAGCGGTTATTGCTAGTACCTTAAACATCGCTCTTCTAACAGTTTCTCCACAGAACAATTCATTAGGGTTCGAGGAAATACACTACTCTTTTACTATGACGTAAAGAGAACACGGTATTTTAGCCACAAAGTCACATATCAGGCGCGCAACTACTGGGGGGGGGGGGTCCTGGGGGTCCGAACCCCTGCCCTATTTCTCAAAGGGGTGAAAGTGCCCTTTTTCTCGGGCACTTTCTTTCTCTTGATCTTGGAATGGCGATGAGAAGAACATTTCTTCCGTTTTTAAATCTGAAGAACATAATTCAGGCTATATCCCCTATAAATAACATTCATATTGTGCCCTTTTTGTGGCCTGGAACCCTGCCCTCTAAAATTCCTCGTTGCGCGCCTGATGTCTACACAAATGAATACACTGGTGAAAATAGTTCTAAGGGACTGTCATTTTTGGATAGCTCAAGAATCCTATAGTAAACATCATGACTATCAAGTTCAGTGGTGTAACGTCTGAAGAGATGAGCAGGGAAACACGCGGTTATGGCATAGTCGTGTGTTTTCCTTCTCTTCCTCTTGGTGTTTTGTCCATAGCTCGTCCAGCATGAATCCCTCACCATTGCCATAAAATACTTTATATGAGAGATGACCTTAAATTTACCATGTAGGATCCCCATAATGGACAGAGAGCTTGTATATCACTCAACCTTTAGGACTCCCGTCTCGGTAAATAACCAAGCACGGATGGTCCTTTCTTACGGCTCACAGGTCATTAAACCTCAAGCCCTCTGCTGTACGGAGGCCGGAGAGCGGGTGAGCGCCATCTATAGACCAAGTTGCAGGAATGGAAAAACTGGCAACTTAACTATGACTTTGGAACACTCCGATTCGCCACTCAGTTTTCAGAACAAAAAAAATGAAGTGGTGCAAACCAGTGTAAAAAAATGGATGTAAATATTGAGCAAAGCAAACAATCTTGAATGCAAACATCAGCATTTTAGAATAAAAAAGAAGTCTAATCGGAGTACTCCAGAGTCCGGAACGAGTTGTCTGTCTGTTCTTTCCTAAAATTGGA